CATCTTAACTTGGGGCTGATAACGACCAAAAGCTCAACGCAATAAAAAGTTGGCAGCTTAGCAGCAAAGTCTAGGGAGCATTTGGAAACAGTCATACGTTCAAAGTTCCACCTTCGAGTTGAGTTTGATTATTTACTATCCAGATAATTCGTTATAGTCTACTTGGATGAGAGCAGTTCATAAACCCTCAGAATGCTTCGGTTTACTTAACTGGACGAAACGTTGGAAAGACCAGATAGAGAAGGCCTTGGCTGTACTTGGTATTTCCAATTGGCGCCAAACAGCAAAAAGAAGAAACCAATGGTGCAATGTTGTTAACTCGGCTATAATCGCGTAAGTGGTGTCTACGCCATTAAAGTAAGCCAGTATGACATGTAGCGCCGACTTGTTGGAACCAAAGGTCGTCCACACTAACATCCTCCGATACACGTACGAAGAAGTCATCAATCATGACCCTGTAGCATTCCTCATTGACTGTCGCTTTTCGACTGGCTTGAAGAAACATGGACTAATTATTCCTTCCGCTAATGGTGCACACCAACTAGTGACCTATCAAAAGTCATTTCGTTTTAGGTTCATTGACCGAACGCGCGACGCTCTGCAGATCGTCTTTAGTTCTTTAATTGCCAAAACAAATTGAATGCAAATGATCAACTACGAAAAAATTAATGCCTCAATGAAAGTCGCGCATCTTAAAGAGCACTCTTTAGTTTCAAATAAAAGCGTCCAAGTGATTTCTGACAATGGAAACTTGGGCAGCGCTATAAAAGTGCTAAATACATATTTCAGTAGAAAATTAACTCTCTTGGAAGTACAAAAGAGTTGCATTCGCAAAAGAAACTTAAACTTACGACTTGAGAAGTGAAATAAATGCAAATGCATTGCAACAACCAACCAGAAAACACCGAAAACCTACGCGATAATGCATGCGTTGCCAAATAGTGTGGGCGCCGCGACACAAGCCAAGCAAATGAATTATTACTGAAACAAAGTGATGATGCGAATTGGCAGAGATGGCAAACTTTAGATTCAGCTTAAGAGTAAAAAGTTAAGACAACACAGTTATGTTCATACATGTACATAGATGCATACGTGTATGTCTGAATTTTTGGGCTGCGCTGAGTGCAATTGCCGCCATTGCATACCACAAGCCAACAGCCAGTATAAGTAATATCAATTTCAAATTAATTTTGTGTTGCGCCAACTTGCACATGATCCATCAAGACGTAGTAAACAGAAATACACATGCATATATACATGCAATTGTGTCTGCTTTCTTGGGCCAGCATTCCGACTGGCAGAGCTACAGAGCTTCCTAGCAACGCGCCCTCATTATTTTGCAACACAACCGAAAACAGACTTTTAGGCGACAGCGCACATACGAATACATACATAAATTCGCGCTGATATAATTGCAAACACACTTGTTAATATGTATATTTGTTTGTTTGTTTATTTTTTTGGTATGTATGTATGTATGTATGTGTTCGCTTTTTATGCAGTCGTACAATTGTTAACGAGATCATTTTTCATATGCGGAAATTAAGAATAATTGCGGCAGCCATCATTGGCAAGGCAACACAAGCAAACGCACACACGCGGACGTATACAATGTTAATATGTTTGAGTATATGTAATTTTGTGCGCTTAAAAATAAACGTATTTATTCACTTCAACCGACACTCTAAAAGTTTTTGGGCAATTCATCGTACCCACTCAATCGGCCTAAGAGTGAGTAAGTGCAGCATACTTATGGGCGCCATGCATCAATTACAATTATAAGCGTATTTTTTACATTTATCTTTTTTTTATTAATTTTTTTTTCGAGACATAAAAGTTGAGCTGATAGTTGGTATGCGCTGCTCGCTGCTTACTGCTTGCTGTTTAATGTCCTTCATGTACGACTTTTCGTAGGCGTGAGTACAGTTTATTGCATAATGACACTCATTTGCACAATTGTATCGTATTTATTAGTTTGGAATTTTTTTTTTCATAAAGCTGAAGTAAGGGCAATGATTTTTTGGAGTATGTGAACTGTTGTAAGCTAACCAAACTTTACAAAGCGGATAGGACGGATAGTACATAAAACTGATATTATAAGACAAGAATGAGACCGGCTGTAAAAGATGCGCCGAGTTTAACAAGTAGCGCTCCAACAAATGGTTCCCAGTTTTTTTTTTTTTTTTTTTTTTTTTTTTGAAAAACAAGGTATGTCGTAACGGTACTACTAGAACTAAGAACTAAGATACAACCTCTTGTTTGCCATTTATCTTTCAAACAATCAGAAAAGCCAACCGCCGAAGACTCATGTTCTGAAAACTCGACGTTTTTCGATGTCTGAAGAATCGGTTGATACGTTCAGAACGCAAGTTTTGGAGATTCCTCAATTAGAGAGGATTGAGAACATAAAGTGATTTTCGATTTTTAATATTTGTCTTTGTTTTCTAATCCCGAAATACAAAAGGCAGCCCTCGTATATAAATCAAATAAATATGAAACTCCTATACAACGAAGCTTTTGATTGCCACCATGTTAGTATCATTTAGCAGACCTACCATATGTGGAGGTCTTGTAAAAATCAAATTCTCTTAACAAGCTGTGCATAATGACTTAACAATAGAAGACACATTTGCTGGTAGAATAAGTAAGATGACCTTCGTGTTAGATTTATTCCTATCACTTGAGCACTACTCCGAAACTTAGTCTCAGTGGTTACCCTCAGTACATGTGTTGAGGAAAGGAATTAAATTTGCTTTCTCATTTAGTTTCCTGAGGTATACGAAAGCTTTTCTAAATTTTCTAATAATTTCCTGTTGGTATACCGTTTGAAATTATCCAGCTGTAAAGAGGTCAGTTCGTTATGCTCTCTGATAGTTCACTATTATTCTGTACACTATGTTAATTTACGAAACTTCCACTAAAAGATCGCCGAACGCATATACAAACAACAAATAAAACTATTGAAACAATTAACCAGAAAAAACAGTTACTTTAAATTTTTTTCGCCGCCTTTACGCCTCTTTTCACGTTCAATTAGTAACTGTCTGCGCCGAAATCACTTTCTCTGACTGCCCAATTGTACAAAAAATAAGCATAGAAAAACATACCTACACTCGTATGTATGTAGATGTGCAGTATGTTCGATTTGTTTGCACTTTTTAGGTCTGCGAATATTTGCTAACTGTTTATTGTATACGACAGAAATTTTTTTTATTCTTCAATTTTCTGAATACATATTTGCCATTTGGATGCTCACTGATTTTCAGGCAAAAACAAATAAACACACAAACTCATTTCAACTATAGAATGTGTGAGTAGAAAGTGTTTTGAAATGGCACAGCGCTTGAGTAGGTCGGTAGTCGATTTAGGTGCCTGTGTGGACTGCTTGTTTGACAGCGGCAATTTGCGACCGCACAGATGCACACATACACACATGAGCAAAAAAAATTTTTGATGTGTTTGTGTTTCAGGTTATTCGCATATCTCGTTGTGCTGCGAAATTGCTTGTTTGCTCGATTGTTTGCAATTCTGCATAGGCTCGCACGTGGCCTTTGTTTTTTTTTTTTTTTTTTTGGCACTGAGCACTTTTTTCTCATTCAAACAACAACTTTTTCCAATAAACGCTTTTCATTTAAAATTTTTTTTAGACGGGCATTTTAGCCTATCTACCTTTACTTATTTTCTTTTTTCCATTTTTATATGTATTTTTGGTTATTTTAAATCAATTTCGTATAACTATGACCAGCAGTGAAAGCACATTCTTTTCCAAAGAGCACATGTAACATGTGTATAATTGCTTTAACGAGCCTAACGAGGCTGCAATATTTTTAGCTGTGTTGCCATTGAAATAAAATCAAATTGTTCCGAAGTTAAGGAAAGGCGCAATATTGATAATTTAGAAATAATACTATAATTAATTTACAAAAGATTTGCAAAATCTGAAGAGAAAGTATAACAAACTAAAATATGGATTTATTAATAAATTTTACTCAAAATTAAAATTAAATTATATTAACTTCAAAAGAATAGAATAAATTATAAGGAAATGCAGAAAGCTGAATCAAAATAAAATAAAATTATATTGAATTAAGTTAAACTTAATTTAATTAAATTACATTAAAATCAATAAAATTAATAGAATAAAATAAAATAAATAAAATAAAGTAAAATAAAATAAAATAAAATAAAATAAAATAAAATAAAATAAAATAAAATAAAATAAAATAAAATAAAATAAAATAAAATAAAATAAAATAATGCAAAGTGAAATAAAATAAAATAAAACAAAATACATTAAAATCTAATAACATAATAAAAAGTAAAATAAAATGAAACAAAGTAAAAAAAAACAAGATCATGGAAGAATTTTAAATTGGAATAAATAAAATTAAAACAATGAAATGAGATACATTTTTAAAATGAATTGAAGGAAATTAGAATAATCTTAAGAAAAATATAAATCAATTAAACAACATAAAACATACTGATAGCAAATAAACAATTTATGTAATTTAACTTAAAAACGAAATAAAATTAAACAAAGTAAAAAGTAAATATGAAAAAAAGTATTCATATTCAATTAAATTTTAAAAATGAAAAAAGTAATATAGAAATGAAAGTAAAAACTAAATGTCAATTTTGCATAACTTTTATTTTTAATAAATTTTCCTCAAAATGATTTGCTGAATTCTTAAGTAAATGTAAATAATAATTTACATAAAATAACGGAACAACTATTTTAGCTTCATCGTACATTTTGTTTGCTTACATAGTTAGCGGTAGTGGCGCTAATTATATGCTTTGGCAACTGCTAAACAAGAAAAATATGTAGCAAGTGCGATACACTAACAACTTATTTCGCTCAAAAGACATCACTATAGCTCACCCATTTAAATAAAAGCAATGATATGGCTAGATTCTCAGTCAAAAACATCATAGCCACTGGACCGCTTGGCAGTTTCACACCTCACACCATAATCCAAGCATTACACCTCGCAAACATGCACTTGAGCACCTTCGCAGTATCCGTCATTCTTAGCATCGTTACTTTAGCGGCTTTGACAACCTCCGCTTCCAACACCGACGGCAACAACAGCCTCAACACCACCACAAATTTGCAATCTGATCTGCGTGATTTCCAAGAACTGATACCACGTCGTCGCATCCGCTACATTGCCGCTCGTCATTATATTGTCGATGCGCGCTTCCGCAGCGCTTTGGCATTTATACGCAGCCCGGAATTCCCGCTCACTTGGCAGCAAATGCGAAATACCAGCGAATTTGCAGAGCTTGTCGGATTTCTTCAACGCCATGATGGCAGCGACACGGAAGGTGGTGGCATCGATATTACCACCATCATTGATCGCATACCAAATCAACTTCGAGTCTTCAATATTCCATCGAAGGTGCCGGTGAGCTTGATGTTTCAGCGCACGGTGTCCGATTTTCTCACTGATGTGGTGCGTGAGCTGCCGCGCGCACGTTTTGCCAGCTTAATGGCACGCAAGGTGCAGGCTGGCGGTGAATTTTCGCAGCTATATAAAAGTGTGCGCAGCGAGGAGTTTAAGGATTTGCTGCAAAAAACGAAGGTAAGCTGAAATTCGAATTCGAAAATGTGCTGCGAGCAGTAAAGTATTAAATATCTCGCGTAACTATTTGAATAGTTTTGCTAAAACCTTTGGTGTTTGTGTTGAACAATTAATCGATTATTTTTTGTAGAATTTCCCTCCCTAAAATATCGATAATTATCAGTTGTTTGTAAGCTTATATATGTTGGTACGCATAATACACACTTTATATATTATCGATATTATATCGATTACTTTTTAATTGTAATTATCGATAATTTAACTATTATTATATTTTATTTCTTTGAAATTGCAAAAAAAAAGCGTGATCTGCATCAATAATTTAAATTACTTGTTATCGATTCTTTTACATTTTTATCGATTTATGATCTCTAAATGTGTGTTGACTAGAAAATATTTAAAGGCAATTAACTGAAGCTATTGACTGTGATTTTAGTTTAATGTTTTTTTTAACGCTAAGATTTCTAAAACTTTCTTTCTTTTATTCTCTTCACAGAGCTCCCGCAACCTTGCCGCTCCCCTACGCAAGCTGAATCAAAACTTTATTGACGTCGATAATTTAATCAAGATAGGATTTAATGTACTCAGCTGGGGCCCTTAATTAACTCCAGATCTTTTTTATTTTTTCGTAAAGTTATTAAATAGACTAGAATAAGTTTAATTCCATTGGTGGATACTTAAAGTGAAATATACAGGTGTTTTTAATTTTAAGAAAACTCCGATTACGCATTGTTCAGTTCACATAATAAAGACAGCAGCAACGAAGCCCAAACCAATTTGTTCACACTTGTTTTCAGATTAAATATGCACCATTTTATATTAATAACACCTTCATTACTCAAAAATTTATTTTCGCCACTCGTTCATATATACATGTTTAATGGGAAACAGTATAAAAAGAATAGAAAATTTAATATTAAACCTTTGCATAGCTGTACAAGAGGATCTAAATAAAACTCTGCGGGCAGAGCGCGCAAGCAACCCAAAAAGGTACAAAGAAAGAAGAAGAGAAAATATCTTAAGAGGATTTTGAAATGTTGGCGGCAAAAGGATGTAAAATATTAACATGAAAAAGGTGAACAAAGAAATCATATTAGAGTAATATTCAAGAAACACAGCGAAAAAGGTCGAATTTTAAATTGGGAGACAGCCACTTTTTCTCTTTTCCTAACTCAAAATCATCCGCCAAGATGAGAAAAGCGTTCGGCGGCTCGTTGTTTCTCATATAAAAAATTTATTTTAAATAAAATCCTAAATACGAGCGCACTTTCTGCCTGCAAACGCTCTTTCCTACGTGGTTAATACCGAAATTGGGCCACACTTCACTTTGCCACATTTTACAAATATACTTAACATAAGCATAGAACCGCAATATTCGCTGGCGATTTTTTTCTATTTTGCATCTCATCAGCTCACGTTCATCGTAGGAAACGCGTTTGTTGAACGACATCGCCTTTCCCGATTACCGTCGACACTTTCAGAGCGTTGCGCTTCCGCTGCCAAGTGAAATTAGCCAAGTGTAAAATTTTTTATATTTTATACTTTCCTTTCCACTTTCTGAAGCCGCGCAGCAACCACCGAAACGAGCAGGCTTAAACCGAGCAACCATGCAATCTAGTCCTGCTGGCAACGGCAATCAAGAGCTAGAGATGTTCAACCGTGCCTACAAACTTACCTACATAAATATAAATGGGTGATGGGTTAAAAAGCAAAGTATGCTTTTAGGCATTACCACTTTCTCGCTTCATATAATATACAATATAAATTATGAAAGTCGTGCGCCGAAATTTACAAGATTTCCTCTTTTCTCGCATTGCCATACACAACGTTTTGGCACTTCATTTTATTTTCTGTAGTGCTTTTGGTTTGCTGTCTCTTTTTTAATGCGCCTTTTTTGTTTCATTCCGAAATAGAAAGTATTCCTCGCTCAAGAAATAAATTATTGATTTTTATGTTCGGCCATAAAAATATTGAGCCTATGGTTGTCCGCCGCTCGCCATATTTGTCTGCTTTCTGATGGTAACTTTAATGTTTCAACGGAATTAAATTACACCTGCAATGAATATGAAAGTAATGGGCGCCAAGGTGCGTTGGTTCATACATATGTACATGTGAGATGAGGTCCGTAAGGTGACCGGCATAAATATCTTGTGGAGCTGTGTGTGAATGAAGCTCTAGGGGTTTATTGAGGTTTATTTTGCATTAGGAAAATTAGATTTTCTTATGAAAGGAAATACTGATTTTTACCAAATGTATATATATGTACAATTCATGCAAATTTTTGAATTCACTTTTCATAATGATCCTGAGATTTTATTCAGCAGTTTCTGTCGACATTATATGCGTCCTTTAATTAAATTTAACTATCCTTATAGGCATAGACCATGCAGTTATTCAGCCCAGGTATTTCTTTTATTTGAGTTTTGACGCCAATTAGGGTCACCAGGATCAGATTCTTATACCTCCACTATTAGCGACCGCAACGAAAACTTCAAAAAATGTAGAGCGTTGTCGTATATGTTGTACAGCTCTAACAAAACTTCTATCCTCCCTTTTTTTTTGGCTGCGTAACGAAAATATTCCATGGTTATGCCATACACAATGGAAATAGGCGTTCGTTGAACCGTGGTCTTGAACCAACACAGTGTGCGCCTGACTTGTTAAACAAGTTGCGAGAACCGGCTGCTAAGGATGACCTGCCAACCATCAGGGAGCTCTTTTCCAACCACACCTGCATTTTCTTTGTTTGGAATAAAAGACGGTATCACCTGCCTAGAACTGTCCGGAAGATCCCTGATTCACATACGTTTACCAATTCGAAAGAGTTAGAGTTAGTTGGTATGAGGCGAATTTTAGGGCTTATGATAATTAGACATATTTTAAGACAATCAATTTCCTCTTTTTTCTTTTTTTAGTGAGCCAAAGGCCTGGTTTGTTTGTAAGAATTGATGGCTGCAGTGACAGCTGTTTCGGAGATCATCACATCTCCTCCTCAGGCGTGATTTAATTTTGAGTCTATCGAGCTGTGGACCAAAAATTATCTTGATGTATTATTCAGTGCTTAGAGTGCGCACGGGCAAGCAAATTCAAGATGTAGAATCTGATTAGGATCAAGAAATTCGAAAATTTTTCATCCTACTAAAAAAATTTCAAACAGCAATCACCACTTCAAAAACAGCAAGTCCGAGGGGACAGGGAAGATTCAAATATGGCGACAAAGAACTGACTGTTTTCATGTCTGAGCTTCTTTGCGATATATGGTAGGCGAACAAAGCCCAAACTCCACAACTCCCTCATCATGCTAAATGTACGAATGCATGAACAAAGACAACATCGGATGAGTCAGCGTCAAGGGTTTCCGAAAGAAAAATTGAAACTATGAACTGTACGAAATATATGGACATAGTTCAGAGACAGGAGCTGCGCTGGCTAATACATGTGGTTCAGACGGATAAGAATACTCCAGCTGAAAGCTTTCCATGTAATACTCGCCGATGACAGCAGAGACGAAAGACGGAAACCTAGAAAAGGACCTGGCTGTACTTGGTATTTCAAATTGGCGTCATCTACATACGTTTGTGGTAGTCTTATGGAATTGTCCGGTATATATATAATTACTAAACTTAGTTTTAAAGCAATTTAATTTTTTTTTAGAAATATTTGACAGCAAGTGTAAATTATAAAAGATGAAATAATTTGTTTCTTTTCGAAAATTTGCTATTTAAATTAAAAAAAAGTCGCTCACAAGCTCCTAAAATAATTGAAATCATTTTGGCTAACATTTCATCTGTTAACAATTTGCCAACAGTAACATATTCACTGTAAAATTAGCATAACAAGAGCGATTCTGCGCATTCATTCCGCACAGCAAACTCTTCCCATTTTACTACGATTTTACTTTACCAGTATTTTCAAGCACAGCAGCGCTATGCAATGCATCAACCAAGATCTAAGACAATTATTTTTGCTCATCTCAGCATTAGCCATAGCAACGCGCAGCAGCGGAGAATGAATCGTTCCCTCATTAAAATTTCAGTTGCTCCCCGCGAAGCGAGACGCTCGCATAAATGTATGCTGTTGCATGATTTTGAAAATCGCCAACGGCAAAATGACAATCAGTGCGGCTATTTATTCATTTACACCAAATTACCACTTGATTTATCGCAAATTATCAGATCAGCGTACATAAATCTAAGATGCCCCAAGCATTGAATAACACTAAATGTTTTTCCATGTATGTGTAGGTATGTATGTGTATGGTGAATTGTTGCATACAGTCGGCATAATGGCTCCCATTAGTGCATTCAAATGCATGATTGATGTCGCGACAGCAAACGATAAAATTTGCCAAAGGAAATATATGTATGTACATATATACACAGCAAAACAGATAGAATACAAATACAATACACGAACAATGAGTTTAATGAGCAGAGCGAAATTCCAAATGAAATGAAGAATGTAGCAGAAAAGTAGAAATAATGGCTAATTCTGTTTTTATTATGGCAATTGCTAGCCAGCAAGCCAAATGTGCAGCCCTGTCGCTTTCTCAATGGTAGTGACTCTTAGAAACTCCCATTTTAAGTGAATGAAATTAAGTTTTTTTTTATGTACATTCGAACCAAACAAGATCTATTCCTAACTTTAAAAAATAGCAAATTATTTTCAAGAAAAATGAGTTTTCTTAAGTTGACTTTTAGTATTACAGATCAAGGGAAGGTGAACAATCACCATTGTAAATACTTTAGAGCGCGAGATCATCGTTTATTTATTACAGGTATATTTATTACTTTTCGTCGTTCGTATTGGAATATTTTTGAATTTTCATACAAGCAGTAATGACCATAGGAATCATACAAGTCTACACCTCAGCATTCGTGAACAGATGGCAATCAATATGTTTACATAACTTTGAAATATGCTAATAATCAAGGCGAAGAAGGAAGAGAGGAAAATGCAGATGGAAAAGGAAAGAGGACGAAACGTGTGAGTAAGAAGAGCTTCTGGTGCAAAGTTTAACTCCTTGAGAAGATTCTACTTTTTACAGAAGATTTAAGAACTCGAATAACTGACGTGGAAAGTGTTGTTCTCGTTTCCGATGACCAGAGGGTACTAGTTTTGTTGAGGAAACACTACTCCCAGTACAAATATTCATCACCATTGACTCGATATTTACCTTGTGTATGAAAAGTAGCTTCTGCACTGTCACTATTTCCGATTTGGTATAAAAACATAAACGAGTGTGCGAGCTCAGCGACACTTTCAGAACGATGAAAAGGTCAGAGAGCAATTTATTCTACAGATTCATCCAGGTTAAAATTCGTTCAACGTAGTTTTATTTCTTTTGTTTTTGCTTAATTTCTCTGATCCTCTACCATCTTATACTCCCGATAATAAGAACTGGCGCTTTGTAACCGCTGAACCGGTTTTTCGGCAAGGCTTTTTTTATCTGTCTTGAATATTCCTATTCTTAATTCATCTACATGCGTATGCTAAAGAGTTTTTTTTTGGTTTATAAACTCAAAGACCCAATAATAATAAATGAAATGAAATAAAATGTCAGTGCTGCCGTTAACTACCCAATTGTTGCGCTTGGTGTAA